CCACATCCCCCTGCCACCCCTCACCCACCCACACCAATGAACCACTCCACTTTACCTTGGACAGCGCCGGGGGCTGGAGGCAGCAGGAGAACCAAAGAGACACTCTGGCCGACACCAGAGCATCTCTTTTGGAGAACTGACTCCTTGGCACGGTCTGGGACCATGCCTTGCTCTGCTCTTCTGCAAAGCAGCTTTTTAGACCCTTGGATATTGTCACAGGGCACTTCAGTGCCCTGCTCCTACAAAGAAGTACAGGTGTCGGTTACTGGGGCAACTGCAGTTTGGTCAGCTGACTGGAAGGGGGCAGGGCCTGACCTGTATAAATGATCCAGGCTGAGCCCAGGGAGTCAGCTGCCTGCTAGTAGCTGAGGAAGAGGGAGCTCTGCTGGAGTAAGCAGAGCAGAGAAGCCTGATGGCCTGAGTAGCTTCTGCTTGATGATACCGGGTGGAGAAAACCCTGGTAGGGATATGAATGATGGTTAGCCAGTTGGCTTAGAATTTATGCTATAGCCCAGGAGCTGGAGTTTTCTGTTTGTAGTTTTATAAGACTGGAGGGCCGGGTGAGGCTATAAGGGGTTGGAGGAGGCCTCATAGGAACTCCACGGTAGTGTGAAGACCCAGCACCAGAGAGGGTGCAGCATTTTGGGGTGCATCGACCCTGGCCCCAGTGCGGGTGTGAGCGCGGAGAAAGGCCCCAGTGCGGGTGTGAGCGCGGAGAAAGGCCCCAGTGCGGGCGGCAGCCGCAGGAGAACCCAGGGAGCACCTGTGAGGGCGCAGGCAGGCGGTGAGATGAGCCAGAGAGTGTCCGTGAGGGTGTGGGCAATGGAGATGAGCCCAGGGACCTGTGAGGGCATGGGTGACTGTAGGACCCATGCGTAGCCCCTGAGGCTTTAGTGCACCGTGTCACCAAAGGCAGGGCATGGACTGGGATATCTCAGGGCACCATGCCAAAGGTAAAAAGGCAGCTGCCCTTTAATACTATCAACATCAAAGACATGGCGGGTGAGATAGTGAGGGTGCATAGAAACTATTTTGGCATGGTAGGGGGTGCTAGGGGAGTTCACGGCACCCCTAGGTCCCGCCCTGCCACAGATATCCAGGGGTCTAATTTTCTCCCTGTGTTGCAAACTTGCAGTGTGTGGAACACTTTTTTTTTTTTGTTCCCACACGTGCCTCTTGCCCTGCCTCAAAGGGGTTTGAGACAGGGCAAGTGGCACATGCACACTCGTCTGGACGTGCCCATTCAAAACTTATTTCTCCACAGAATAGCACCTTATCTAGGCAAACCATACAAGGATGAATGTAAAATGTGTCCCTGTATTAAACTACACCCTACAGGAGAACAGGCCTACTTTAAATAGTAACTCATTTGTTTATAAAGGCAAATTCGGATATATTTTTCTAATGGGAAGGTCCAATAGTATTTAATAGGGGTAAAACTCTGTTGATTTAATACATCCTACAGAAGCTATATGAGTATCTGCAGAATCTTCTCAATAATATAGAATTTCACAGAGACAGATTTCTTTATTTTCTCTATTATGTTTTTTCAAACCATCTAGAAACCTACAAAAATTACCATTGTCTCGCATTCTTTCAGACTTATAGTTTTATAGATGGTAGGGTCGGAAGGGACCTGAGCAGATCCTCAAGTCCAACCCC